AAATAGATACGCATTTCTATAGAGAATTTTCCTCTTAACTAATGTTTATCTTTTAATGTCCCTACAAAATGTGTTTATGTGCAATATATGTGTATCTTTTATATATGAATTAAACAAGGCAACAGGTGTCTGGAGATGAGTCTCTTTTCAGTTTTTATTCGAATATATCGAATAGAAAACAAAAAATGTCGTTTTTTGTATTCTAAAAGAAGAGGTTCTTTAAGAATGTGGTCACTTATTGAAGATTCTTGTGTATGTGGGTGTAGCCATCATCTAGAATATAAGTTATAGAAATAAGTTATTTTTAATTTAATATATTAAATCTATTTGAAAATGTGTATATTCCTCATCCAGTGATGCATTTTTATATATGGGTAATTTTAATTTAAAAACCAATATGTTAATATATAAAAACTGGTGTTTTTGCACTTGGAGTCGGTGGAAGGATGGCCTAAACCGTTGGTTTTCGACCACTACGAACCGGGTTCGATTCCCGCATTGGGCACTTTTTTTCAGATTAAAAAAAAATGCTCTAATGGCCCCCGATTCTTGCAAAAGTCCAACCCCACCAGCGAATGCAAGTAACCAAACGGGTCTCTGGCACATTTGTAAGTGCAAAGTCGACCTGCTTTTCACATGTGTAGAGATATGTTGCACTTACATTAAAAGCAGTCGCCTACTTCTACCCACCATGGTTAGCATGGCCTGTACCACGTGTACTAGGGATAAGCAAAAAAAAAAGCTTTGCATTTTGTACTGGAGTGTTCAACAAATGTTTTGTAATAATTCACATTTAAAGGATGAGGTGCCACTTTTGGTATATATATAATATATAACAAATAAGATAAATATAAATATTATTTATATTGTCTGATTGAAATGGATAGAATATAGACACATTTACAAAAAAATAACAGGACTTCTATTTTAAAACGTAAAAGAAAATGCTTAGTATAATTATATATTAAAATTCAAAACTAATTTATAAATTTTCATTATATATTAATATGTTAACAGTATATACAAAGTGTGTTAAATATATATATTAAATTATATTAAATATGATGTGTTAAATAATAAATTATAATGAAATGAATCAAATAATTGATAACTTTATTTGAATTTACTGAATAAACCATATGTTTAATTTGAGCTGTCATATTACATGTGGTATATTAGGCAAATTTAATATTATATGTAAATATGTATATACAGTTATACCTGTTTATTAGCGCCCCCTCTAAATAGTGCCTTCCTCTCAATAGCGCCCGATTTTAAACATTAAAATGTAAATACAAGGTATGTCCCATAAGTTCCCGGACTGGGTCCATAAAAAAAAGGTAAGATTTTTTAATTTTTTTTTTATTAAAACTTTTCAAAGTAATCCCCCCTTGCTTCAACGCACCAGCGCCATCGTTTCTCCCAATTGTCGAAACAGTTTTTATAGGCCTCTTTTGGAATGCTCTTCAATGCCAGCAGCGATTTTTCTATTATGTCTTCCCTGGTGTCAAAATGTCTTCCTTTTAGAACTGCTTTGAGTTTGGGGAACAGGAAAAAGTCATTTGGTGCGATGTCTGGGGAATAGGGTGGTTGAGGTAGGATTTCTGTCCCGTTTTTCGCCAAAAAACTCGTCACCAAGTGCGCTGTGTGAGGGCGGGCATTGTCATGGTGTAGGATCCAGTCACCATTAGTCAATTTTTCTGGCCTTTTTTTTCGAATCGCTTCCCTTAGACGGCGAAGAATGCTCAAATACATTTCCTTAATAACTGTTTGGCTTGCAGGAAGATACTCGTGATGAACAATGCCCTTGTTATCCAAAAAAGCGACCAGCAACACCTTGTTTCTGGATTTCAATATCCTGGATTTTTTGGGTCTAGGCTCACCCTGACCTCTCCACTCGGCAGATTGACGCTTGGTTTCAGGGTCATAGCCATAGACCCATGTCTCGTCGCCTGTGATTATCTTGTCTTTCCATTCCGGATCCGTTCTTGTCATTTCCAGCATGTCCTCACAAGTTGCAAGCCGACACAGTTTTTGCTCATTAGTGAGGAATCTTGGGATGAATTTTGCAAGAGTCTTTTTGAGCCTCAAATCTTCGGTTACGATCCTTCCAATCGTTGTTTTAGAGATGCCTGTGTCTTGCTCTTTGCTCCAGCAAAGTGGTTCGAGGATTTTCTTTTATCAAATCGGTGATTTTTTGCACATTTTCATCAGTCCTTTGAAATGTTGGGCGTCCTTGACGAGGATCATCTTCAATGGAAATTCTGCCAGCTTTAAATCTAGAATGCCATTCAAAAACAGTTGTTCTCTTTGGGGCGTTATTGGGGAATGCTTTATTAAGCATTTCAAAAGTGTCGGTTGCTGATATTTGAAGTTTCACACAAAATTTTTTGCATATCCTCTGCTTCAATTTTTGTTCCATCGTAAAATCGCCGCAGCGCAAGGTGTAACCTTTAAATAAATTAGAATAACTTTGGCGCACGCGCACGTACCGCCTCGATATTGGTACCACCGTGTTGCCAGATATTTTTTTTCTATAATAAACTGTCAAATTTATTTACATTTTTCATTTATTTATTTTTTTTATGGACCCAGTCCGGGAACCTATGGGACATACCTTGTATTTTACATTAAAAGTGACCTGTCTATAGCACCCTATTTTGGTGAGTCCCAAGAGGGGGCGCTATAGATAGGTTTAATTGTATTTACTTTTGAAGATCATTTGTTGTTTGAAAGTTGATTTAGAAGAAACACAGCTACGTCAAATAATTATTTATTTAACTCACGACGTTTCAGTGACTTCATTCCCCTGAGGAGAGTAACAGCCAGTCAGTAAAACATCAAGAATTGAATAATTCATTGGTTGATTTAGCTAGATATTTTTACAAACTCATATGTATTTGAGTTTTAATTTAATTAAATCAAACATAAGAGGTATATCTAAATCGAAATATTAACATTTGAAATATACAAGTTATACAGTTAAACCATCTATAGCGCCTTCTCTTGGGATTCGCCAAAATAGGGTGCTATAGAGAGAGGGTGCTATAGACAGGTCACTTTTAATGTAAAATGTTTACATTTTAATGTTTAAAATCGAGCGCTATAGAGAGGAAGGCGCTATAGACAGGTTTAACTATATTAATATTTTGAAAGTAATATATTTAACAAAATTTTCAAATATTCAGTTTGGTGTTGTGAATTTTATTTAGGAAAAAAATAGTCCACAGCGATAAGTTTCTTAGTAATGGTAGATAAAACTGGCGAAACCGATGAGAAGGTTCACCACGATGAGCAAGGCCTTCCCATTATTTTTATCATTGCAGTAAGGACAGTAGAAATTAGATTTATTTTGAAAACACCATACGCGTCAAAAATAGTTCAAATTTCTTATGAGGTCTTTAAAATTACTTTATTATTATGAAAAGGCATATCCTCATCGTACAACTGAAAGTTGCTGATGGCTTGCGCCATCTATCGGAATAAGCCATCAGCAACTTTCAGTTGCACGATAAGGAGATGCCTTTTTAAATAATTTATGCACCTCATCCCAGTACAATATCCCATTTGTACTATTTTTTTTTTTACAAATTTTATTATCTTGGGAATTTTTCGTATTTCTAAACAGGAGTCTTTCTTGGTAGTATTTTAACTATATATTTTATATCAAAATATTCTAACTTTCATGAATCAAAATCCCTGTTTGTCTATATGTTTCTTTGATCACATTCAAAATCAAGACACATATCTCTCTTATATTAACATATAATTATTATGTGGTGAGCGTATTTACGCATATTTGGCCTTAAATACCCATTTCTTGGTTTCTCAAGAAGCCTTTGGGACCAAAAATTTTTTTGGTCGCAGTGGTACAGCCTACTCCACGCTGACGAGCGCCAACAGCGCGAAACGCGTTCGTAGATGGCTTTTATTGTTTTATCAAGAAATTGGGTCGGCCAAATATCAGGGAGAAAGTTAAATAAACGTTTAGTTTATTTTTGCTCCACTAAATGGCGTTCTGCTATCTAAAAAGCACATGTGCTTGTGGTCAGGATATGCTTTCTTTATTTTTAATATAATTATTCAAAGACAAAAAATGGAATATTTATACTCATAATAGGTGATTTTCCTTTTGAACTCTATATAGTATGACATATAATATTGTGAAAAATAGTATAAACGTGCGTGTATGAAATTGTACTGGGATCTGGTGAATAAATTAATAAAAAAGACATCTTCTGATCATAAACAACACTTAAAATTATACCGCATAAGTTTCTTTTCCACGAAAAATCAATATTTATTTTAAAGATAAATATTTACTATTTCTAACTTTTTGAATGAAGTATGAGAGGGTGAAAATATGAAGAGTAATAGCGAACGGGAAAAAATAAAAGTGTCCAGGGGCGGGAATCGAACCCACAACCTTCTGCTTACCGGGCAGGTGCCATGTCCACTTGGCTACCCTGGACGTTATTTCTCCGTTCGTAAATAATACTTAAAGTAACTTATATATAATACATTATAAAGGACTGCGGCGTGTGATTATAAACAGCACTTAAAATTATACCGCATAAGTTTCTTTTCCACGAAAAATCAATATTTATTTTAAAAGAATTATTTACTATTTCAAACTTTTTTGAATGAAGTATGAGAGGGTGAAAATATGAAGAGTAATGGCGAACGGGAAAAAATAAAAGTGTCCAGGGGCGGGAATCGAACCCACAACCTTCTGCTTACCGGGCAGGTGCCATGTCCACTAGGCTACCCTGGACGTTATTTCTCCGTTCGTAAATAATACTTAAAGTAACTTATAATACATTATAAAGGACTGCGGCGTGTGATTATAAACAACACTTAAAATTATACCGCATAAGATTCTTTTCCACGAAAAATCAATATTTATTTTAAAGAGAAATATTTACCATTTCTAACTTTTTTGAATGAAGTATGAGAGGGTGAAAATATGAAGAGTAATGGCGAACGGATAAAAATAAAAGTGTCCAGGGGCGGGAATCGAACCCACAACCACCTGCTCGGTAAGCAGAAGGTTGTGGGTTCGATTCCCGCCCCTGGACACTTTTATTTTTTCCCGTTCGCCATTACTCTTAATATTTTCACCCTCTCATACTTCATTCAAAAAAAGTTAGAAATAGTAAATATTTCTCTTTAAAATAAATATTGATTTTTCGTGGAAAAAAAACTTATGCGGTATAATTTTAAGTGTTGTTTATAATCACACGCCTCAGTCCTTTATAACATATTCTGATCGTACAAAAAAAATTGCTGATGGCTTGTGCCACATCTGTTGGAATAAATATATATTTTAAAGAAATCGGTAGACGAGTGGTTAAAATCCTCGATTCCCGACAGCCATGAACCGGGATCGAATCCCGTATTGGACACTTTGTTTCAATATGTGAATAAACTTTGCATATTATCCATTGTTGTGAATATCATAAGCTAGGTTGCTCTTTTTGAGCGGTACCTAATAAAGTTATTTTGGAATCAGAACCAGGAATAAATATCAACTACCACCGTAGGATCAGGCCTCGTCTGCGTCTTCACGCCTGGGGTTGTTGTTCATCGTCTGTAAGTTTAATTTTGGAATATTGAGATCACAAAGTCAAAGAAATTTGATAATTATACAATTAAAATTGAAAAGGTTATAGGTAAAATGTAGAGAGTTATAATTAAAATAGAAAATTGATATTTTAGTACTCCAGAGAGAATTGGATGAATATCCATTCTTGATTAAGATAGAAAATCTTATAAATAAATACAATATATATTTAAAATATTGTTGCGGTGACGTCCGAATATTGCTAAAAAACCGTCCACCACTTGTGGTCCGGGGGGGCAGAAGGACCAATCAGAAAGAAGCCAAGTAATATGCAGTGAGTCATGAGCTTCCCACTTGTTGACGGCCTGTTTAGAATATCCTCCTCGTCTGTTACTTTCTTGTTTTTCATAATGCACGAAAATAAATAAAAATCAGTCGAACATAGAACCTTAGCATTTCTGCATGCTCATTTGACCATCATTGATACATTAACAACGACAAAACAATATTCAAGTTTTTTTTATTATAGAATATTGTTACGTAGAAAGAATAGCACATTCCAGAATAGAATGTTCTAGAACGTTCAAGAATAATGTTTAAAAAAAAAGCGGAAGACAACTGAATGGCCAATCTAAAGCGATTGCGCAAGGCTTGGTGCTGGCGGCTTTCTGATTGGCTGACCAACCGTGACCGTTCTGGAAAGATCTACTCCGGGTTTATAGGGAGGAGAAACTCATGCTAAGGAGAGAAGAAAGATAAGAGAAGTAGAAGAACGAAGCTACGTGGTGTACTCCAAGCAAGCTGCTGTCTCAAGTGGTCGGATTGCTGCTTACCGCCGACGCCGGTGTACTTCCTGGACGATTCTAGAAGATTCTACGAACTTCTGTCTCCTGTTATGCTCATGCTTTCCCTCACCGTGCTGCAGTTGGTGAGTTTGTAACTGCTGTTTTCTTTATTGTCGTTTTATTTTTGCACTCTTCTGTAATTATTTTATCGATTAGGCTTAAATAAATTCCTAAAGATCCTTTGTACCCACGGAAGTTTTTCTTTGTCAACCAACAACGCAACAATATATTATAGTGACAATATATATATATATATATTGCCATATAAAATTCCACTTAATTCTCTTCCAGCTTTTGATTATCACAAAATATTAACGTGATTTTAAATGCTTAAAAAGATTTAAAGCAGTAAAGTGAATTAGGACGTTGAATTAAGGAAAGCACCTTCTAATTGTGCTACTAAATGTTGTTGATAAGACACTGTTATCGATTAAAAATATGCAAACGAACGTTGATTTTTCAAATAATTATATTTATTTAAAAAAAGGTTTTTATTTCGCATTCAAAAGAGTTTAATATTTTTCTTTCAGACGTACAGTTGTGACAGGCTAATATTAGGTCTATAATTAAATATATTTGGTATAAATATTCTCGAATTTATCTGTCGTCTGTTTAAAAAACAAATTTAAACATACTAAAAATATATGCATTAAAAACTAATGCAAATGAACAACAGAAATATATGATACTATCTATAAATTCACACATACATTTATTATATAAATAAAAATATATTCTGCTAATTTTTGATTATCTTGAGTTATAGAATTATTATCTGTTGCTTGATTTTGGTATCCATGAGTATATTACGATATTCCCAGAAAATCGTTCAAAGCGCTGGAAGATTGATTTACTCTAACTTGCGATCTGTGTAAAAACAGAATCCAAGAGGAAATTATGCATATAATATTTGGATGCTCTTGCTTAGAGAAACAGAGGAAAGAAATTTTGGGTGACTTACCCTGGTCTCAACCTGACTGCCAACAAATTTGTAGCTGAATGAACACACTGATGGTTGATCAGGGTCTCTCCCTCGGTTTATATAAATTCTACAAGGCCGCAGTCAATGTCCGTTGGAGAATAATGGATTCGCCGAATGTCGTGGTTTGCTTGGAGGAAGAAGGCGAAGATTGAACGCGGCTGATTCCACACTAGCCCTCTCAATTATATCCTAACCTTGACATATCCTAAACATTGTTACTTTAATTTAAATATTTAATCATGTATGGTTCCTTTTGCTCTGTATGTTTATTTTTTGTATATATGGTTATATTTCTTTTTTTTTCTTTCTTCTCTCTTTTCTTTTTCCTTATTACCTCTTGTATTCTAGTTTTTACATTTGAAATATCTTCCTTTGCTAAATCCTGTAGAGGGGAATCATGTATAGGGCTGGATGCCCCAATAAAAAAGGCTTATGTGTGTGTGTGTGTATATTACGATATTGTTCTGCAGTCGTGGCAATAATAAAATAATTTTGAACAGAGATTTATTTAATTGAGCTAAGGAATATACAATATATATATATATAAGTACTGCCTGGCTTAAGGCGAGTAGAACAAAAAGATTATTTACATAATGTACAAAGGATTTGTGCCGGCCATTGGGATTTATTTATTTATTTCGTCTCAATTTACAGGTGTTACATTCGAGCACAGCTCGCGAGTCACCTTGTCCTGGCTATTTACACATGGCGAGTTGGTGGAGTAGAAGTGGTCCCCCTAGGCCTTGCAGGAGGGCAGAAAAAATCCCTCGAGCCGGATATGAACCAGCGACCTAAGGATCACCGTTAATACATCTACAGTCCTCCGCTCTGCCAACTGAGCTATCGAGGGTTGCCATTGGGATAAAACAACAATGAGTTTTTTTATAGGGGAAGAGTGACCTCTGGCGGTCGATTCAACAGAGTAATTGAATCTATGAAATATAATTTTAAATAAAATAATATATCAATATAACATTTCCCCCCTGTGAAGAGAATAATATGGGTAAAGAGAAAAGTGAGGAAAATATAGTTTAAAAAATAAAATGATTGATGTAAAGAAAATAACGTGAGAGGTGATATTCACTTATCATATTGGTTTTTTATATGGTAACCAATAGACAGGAAAATACAAAATGATGTAATGATTGTTAAAGAGAGAAAAAAGGTGTTCCATAATCGTATTGGCTTATTGTGAACCAATAAATTGGAAATAAACAAAAGAAAATACACATATAATATTAAAAATGAGGAAGAAAAATAAAATGAATTATAATTACAAAAGTATATGAATGAAAAATGATGAAGAACATGGAAAAGCATATGAAAATAATTACATTTGTAAAGGATAAGTGGAAACATTGGATGATTATAAGAAAAAAGGCATTTGTGAAAAACAATAAGTTGAGACAGAGTTTATGTACAAAGGAAAATGGGCAAATAAGGAATGGACATGTTAAGAAAAATTAATTAATGGTAAAAAAATAAAGAATGATAATTTTAAAAAGAATCAAGGTGGATAAAAATAAGAGTTAAAATTTACATAATTGGAATCGCTAAATTTAGATATTGGCAGAAATGCTTTTAGATATTAATTGCACATGAAACAAGTAATGGGGGCAAAAATGCAAATTTTAAAAATAACATGAAATGAGAAGAGAAAATATCAAATATCAATAGTTAGGGAATTTTGAATATAAATGTGAAGCTATAAGGTATTGTTGTTATTAACGAAAAAAAATATAGTGGGAATATGATAAACAAGGTTTAAGACTAGTTTAAAAAAATATTGAAGATGTGAGAAATAGGTAATGTTATTTTGTTATTATCCTCCCGGCCGACTGTTTTACATATGGTGTTAAAAATGATAGTTGTAAATGGTTTAGCTTAAAATGCAAAGGTTTAAAGGTAAATATTGTTGGGAATCTCTTATGGTTCAGACAATGAAACAACAAATAACAAGTTTACTTACAGCTAAATTGGTTTTAGAGAATTAGGCAATTTTACCTTTTAAGAAAGTATTTTATATTTATTATTTTCAAAGAGAGAGAGAAAAGAACATTTAACAATTTACATTACAATTACTAATTTTGTAAAACAAAACAAAACACTCCTTTGTTCTCATTTTTATATTAGAGTGTTATCAGTCTAAAAGTATTTCAAGATCATTGATTTACTATTCTTCTTTTTTTGAACAAAAATATGGAATTAGAAATATTATATTTAAGTACAAATTATGCAGAGCAAAATAAGGTGTAAAAGGATTAAAAGTTGTACTATTTAAAAAGCAAAAACAGTGTGGGGGCTGAGAGATTCCTTCCAGCCTGCTGGGATGACGCAACACGTGGCGCCATGAAATAAGAGATGACTACGACCACTTGGCACAGCGGCGGTCACCAGAGAGGACCGAATGTGATTCCAGGGTGTTGTGTTTTTTGTCTTCCCATATAAATGTAGCCAACAAGAAACGCCAATAAAACACTAACTTGAGAGACTATCCGAGCCATCGCTGGACCATAAATCGACACACCACAATTGGTGAGCCGGACGTGTTTGAAAAGAAAAAGCATACGAAGATTTCAAGAGATAAAGAAATGCAAAAAGTGATTCAAGCTTGAAAAGAAGCATCATCCAGGATATCGGGATATCATCTCAAGACTAAGATAAGTTTTTATATTATCTTCCTTGTTG